GTTTGCAGCGAAGCAGTGTAGCGGAATCGAACCGACTAGTGATGCGCAAAATGTATCACTGAGCTGAAAAGATTGATACATATAATTTCGCTCAAAAGATATATATCACTCATCTAGCTCACTAACTCGTTTAGTTCACTAGCTCATTGATCCGATTCAATTGATCGGTCTCTCAATTAATTCATTTCTTCATCTAGATCGTTTAGCTCAGTATACTCGTATATCCCTCACTTCAAGCCTCTCTCGCCATACAAACCTTTCTTTATTTTCATATTAACCTAAATTCAGTTTTTGAAACCACATTTTTAACCTATTTTTTTTAAATACAATTTTATTCATTTTGATATAATTACAAAATTATGAACAGTCAAAAGACTTAATAATTTTAATATAATAATTAAAAATAAGAAATTATTTCTTGTACTTTTTGTAGGTTGTATAATAGAATCATACATAATTTGATTTTCCTTGTACTTGGCAGGCTTAATTCTTAAGTAATATTAAACTTAGATCCTATAGAAATAATATACATTTTGCATAAAGAAACTTGCGTGAACTCAACCATCATCTTTCTCACTCATTTAACTTTAGTCTCACTCGCTCATGAAACAAAGATCGGCGTCGTTGAGCTAGTGAGCTAGTACTGAGTTACTGATATATTCAAGCAGTGTGAGTGTGAGTGAGTGATACATTTTATCGTCGTGAATGATATATATCTTTTATATCACTCACTCAGTAGCTACACAACTCTAGAACCGACTAAAACCACACCCCACGCCTAAAATGGCACCGAGCTAAAAAATCCTCACTCCGATGGCCGTTACGGGGCCACGCCTCTGTTCCACCCACGCTACGCCGGGCATTCTAGCAGCGTGTGGAGCGCCGTAAATGTAAATGGGTAATCTCCTGCGTCAGCCGGTATGAGAGGGTCCCGTGTTACCTCTTGAGCTAATTCTCCATAACGAGTCTTACCGCTGCTATAGTCGCCGCTGTTATAGTCATAAAAGTGTTGCCATCCCTCAAAGATTTTATCCATTTGTGGTAAATTATATAAACATGAGCATGAGCCAAACAAATTAAATCCTTAGACTTGCCTTGAATCATACCGTAGTCAGGGTCTAGGCGTGGCAACGGAAAATTTCTCGAAGGAACACTTATAAGACTTAGATTCCTAAGTCTTATAAGTGTTCGAATTACAAAACTGGTGACAAAAGAGTTAAAGATACCCGTACCTACTCCCGTCCAAACCACAAAGAGGGACGTGAATATTGAATTTCTAACTGGGCACAACATCGAAAGAAACATAAAACAATATTTTAATACAAAACTTGAAGATTCCTTGTCTCAACTTCTAAAGGAAATACAGCAGGATATAACTATGAAAAGCACTGACACTTGAGGAAAAATTGATAAACTTACTGAAAGTGTAAAATTTATATTTGTTAAGTACGATCATAAAATCACTTTTCTGTTTGTTCTATATAAATGACCTATCTGTGCTCGCTCTGCACACCGTACCCGGCGGGCCATATTAAATAATAGACGATTTCAAATATTTTTAAAAGAGTTTTATGAAATGAATATGTTTTCAATGGGTGTCATGTCCTTCCAACACAAAGGGATGATCGTCCGACCAGGCGAGTTGATCATGCCTGGCGGACCGCGGCCCAACAGTCGATGTTGGGAAGTTGTAAATATGTTGTATATTCACTTCGAAGCTAACTTGGTGTTACCCTCTAAGACTCAAAGTGGCCGCAATACTTGACTTGGCTTGGTGTCTACGCCAAGGATTCAAGTGTTGACCTCTAAGCGAAGTGCTCTCAAAGCGAGGTGATATGAGAAACGTTATCTTGTTGACGAAGAACTCGTGTCTTCAGTGGGTTAAATTAAACTAGACTGAGTAGACACTAATCTGAAACTTCCGTAGACAAGATGTGTGTCGGCTCTCGATTAATGTCGCCGCGGTCAGTATAAATGAAATCACCCGTGCTATCATCTGTATAGCAGCTATCAGCTGCTGATTTGCAACATATATTGATTTGCAGTAAGAACAGTGTTCACACAGCTTTACAGGACACCAGCATTTACATACTAAGAGTCGTGTCTGCGTCTGTCTACAAGAAAACTGGTGACGTTAGTTGCAACTTCTCCGAAAGCCCATAGGAAAAAAGCTTCGCGAGAAGTGCTTCGTGACAGAGCCGATCGAAGGCTTTCGCTATGTCCAAAATAACAACACATGCCTCTTCCCTGTTCTCGATCGCCTGTGTCCACTGAGCTGGCGGTTGAAGATGGATTCGGTCATCTTCGAGAACAAGGCATTTCTGGTGATGCTATAGGCTTATAGTTGGACGGATTCGAGTTGTTTAGAGATAGAGTACACTTAAGCTATCTTCCAGGAGTTCGTGAGGACGCCTAAAGAGTAGGATAGCCAAAAGAAGCTCGTTAAAACGGTGCCAACTCTGGAACACACTAGACAGATTCCATCGAGCCTCTTTTTGTCTGAACCGGACTTCCGGCATACAACTCTCGCACCGCGGTATAGTCCTAAAGTCCGTCATTCAAAGTCGAGTTTAACGCAAAGAGTTTGCCTAGAAGATCGGCTTTCTCCTTAGCTTTACTGGCTAACAAATTACCTCCCACGCACAGAAATTCCCCTGGATTGGGAGAGACTCCCCAGTCTCTCGCTAATTCAGTTGATGTGCTCCACTTCACCCTGGCAATGTCTCTTTTGAGGAACCTGGAAGCAAAGTTGATTGTTTTTAATGTGCTGGTCTTTAGGTCACCTACCGTTTATGCACATGTTTGGTAACGTTCCTGCTTTCGGCGAGACGCCGTTTTACAAGATCGGTGAATATTGGGCTTAGATTTGCCACCAATGCCATTTAATGAGGATGGAACGAAAAGCTCCATAGCCTAAATAGTACCACATTTTTTTATAAATCTCTCTTCCAGCCTTTTCATTATTCGTCAAATAATTTATATCTGATTTTATACGCAATAATAAGCTAGGGCGATTTCAATACTTCGTCTAGTACCTATATTATATACGCGCGCGCTTATTTTATTTCCCCACAGTTAAATAAAAATTACTATAATAATTATTATATTAATAGTATATCCTGTTTGGGTGATATCGAACAAACTTCTTTAACAGTCATTCTGACAATTATATCGTTATTCATATTGTGTTGATTACAGACTTTTTGCACCAGACGATTTCCATTTTTTTAAATTATTAAACGAGGGTAAATCGAAAGTTTAAGAACTTTGCATCTATAAATAATAATTTTGGGATAGCTTGCTATTTGTTTTTAGAATAGTGAAAGTCACACAATATTTATGCAGAGTTTGACTTTTGTTCATCAGACCGTTTAAAAATAATAAATTATGGCGCTAAAAATAACACTAAAATATGGCGAAAAACGAGTGCTAACGTATCTCTGCCTCAAAAAAAGTCCACGAAAGTAAGTTTATTAGACATTCAGAACATATTAGGGGATAGTGATTAGCGTTCAGGACAGCCTTTAAACTTCGGTACGGCAGAAAATATCAAAAAGGCAACGTTGAGGTTTTAACTGATTCAATAGGATTCAGAAAAGTATGTACTACCAATGTTAACCGACGAAAGTAAAAGCGCGTTTTATTTTCGTCGCTTAGGTAACATTCGATGTTTGAAAATTTCCAGTCTCGAAATATTACAGAATGATCCGGATCAATTTTGCTGTCACCATGGATGAAACATGGGTACTTCATTTCGATTCCGAAACATAGAGATAAAGCATATTTTGGGGACGACCTTCTCCCCCTCAAAGAAATTAGTTGCTTGTACCGTTGCAAAGTTATGGCTTCCGTGTTCTGGGATAGTGAAGGAATTTTACGAACTTATTATCCAGATTTCATCCCAAAAGTGCGTGAAGCAATTAAAAAAAAACCTTCGTGGAAAACTGTCATTGAGCGTGTTGTTTTTTCACGCTCCTGCTCATCGATCGAAAATTGCGTTTAAGGCAATCCACAGTGGTGGCTTCGATACCCTGATGTTGTCGTTTACATTTGGTTGCGAAGTCTCTTCGTAAGTTAATTATCGAATTAATGAATCATATAATTAGTAATCCACACAGGAAATGGAATGTAAGGACTAGTAGCTATGGAAGTTAGAGGTAAGGACAATTATATTGTATGGACGTCAATCCGAAAGTGTCCGTCAAAAAGCATCAAATAATAGTTCTAAAATCGACCAGAATGGCGCTGGTGTAGTAAGTTTACTGGGTTAAAGTACTTTAATATGATATTACTAATTAATTGCATATACCTATTATAATTATTAAAAAAATGCGCCGTTTTCATTCCTCGTTTAATTTACTATACTACTCTAACAACTTGGCGTACTCTAATACCGTGGCGCCATTATAATTTGATGCTTTTTGACGCAAAATATTTCATACACAGAAATGTATCCCCTTACCTCAAACCTCCATACAGGTAGCGAAATAATTATTGGTTGTAACACAATAAAAAGCATTTTTGTAGTAAAAATTAATTGATTTCATCAATATCAATATAGTACGTTCAATTAAATAACGGAAATCTTTAATGTTACTATAAAATCATGTATTTTAAAAATTAAGTCACAATACAACTCATTCAAGGCATTCCTTTCTCAACTTAAATATTCTTTCATTACTTTATGTATACTTAAATCTATTTACAAGTTTAGAACCTCATAATAATTTTATTAATGGAAGAATTCGCTTTTAAAACATTCTCTATTATAAGTATTATTACAAGAACAACCTTACTCGATATTACTAACATTCAGATTCTTAAGAGTTACTTTTTTCATGGAATACCATTGAATAGAAAAAGTTAATTTATCAGTCTCCTGGTTAAATTGAAGTTTCTATCCTAAAGTATTATCCTAAAGTATTGTAAAGTTATATGAGTAAGGTGTAACATTCACATGAAAATCCTGACTACTTTTTGTTTACGAGATTCAAAACTGGCTATGATTGTGACCGATGCTTTCTGAAACATCGCTTGTCTGCTTGTCGTGTCAAAATATCAGAGACGAATGTTCTGTGCGTAAAGACCCGAAGAATGTCCTCCCGAGCTTCTTGAATACCTTCACATACGATTTTACTCCTTTGTATATTACCCTATAAAAACAAAGTGTAACTTTCATTATTAGTGCAATGTTATGTTTCAAATATAAAATTGAAAATATTTCTTATAAATTAACATTATTTATAGATCTTAATATTACTTACTTGTATCGTGGGACAGCCGTCGTATATGGGTCGGCTCGACCGGAGTGGCACCACTGCCTCACAGAAAAGCAAATCTTTCGTTGCCTTGCCTCGAGTGAACGGTTAACGGAGGCCCAACCGCCCTCTTCTTAATTTGGATAAGAGGGCGGCACTTACAGGGCTAATTGTGCCGTTGACAATTGTTACTCTCGAGGTGCAGGTAGCTGGCAGTCACTTACTGTTCTGCTCATTTGCCCTGTCTCTCATTTGACCCGTCTGCTCATTTTTCCCCGAACCGATAAAAATAATCTATGAATGATTAATAAATAATGCGTCACCTTGAGTAGTTCTAGCAGAGTATGCGAGTGTGGTTGTATAGCGGCATAAGCGCGTCCAGGTGCTGTGTCAAGCGCTCGCAGCAGTCCCGCTAGCTGCTCACCGACGTCGGACTCCAGTGACATCTAAAATATATCATCTCATATATCCCTCTCTGTGTTGATTTCGCATGTACTTGCATTTGGATAAATAAATGTGCCATTTTATAGAAAATCTTAAAATAACAGAGTTAAAATAACTCATGTAAAACTTTGAAGTTATAAATAACTGAATAATTCGAGTCTGTGTCATTTACTAGCTCGTCATCATTTTTAATATTAATAAATAATAAAAATGCTTTGACAATAATAATAATCAGAATAGGCTGTACTGCCGTTTACTAAAACAAGAAAAGTGATTTCACTCGACAGTCAATTACGATATTACAAAGGTAAACGTTACCAAATCGTCCATCTGGGCGGTGAGGTGATGGACCTTCCAGCCCTCGGCGCTAGTGAGCACGTGCTTCTGGCTGGCGATGGCGACGATGTCGCGCGCGCGCGGCTCGCGCCGCCGCACGTCGGCCGGCCGCGTGAAGTGCAGCGCCGTGCTGCGCCAGCCGCACACGTAGCTCGAGCTCAGCAGGGGACCTGGCGGGACAACTGCGCACGTCACGTCTCACCTCCCACACGTTCGCATGTGATTCATGCAAAAAATAAAACAATTTCTTACGTTTCGGAGGAGGATTGAACGTGACGGGGGGAGGCGTGGGCGGCGGTTCTTCTCCTTGAAAATCGCACTGCCTTACTTCGTTTGTTAATCTAGAAATATAAAAAAAAAAACTTTACTTACCGATTTCAGATGGATTTGAGAATACGTGCTTGAAGTTATTAACTGAAGAAATGAAGAATTTACAGTAACTGGTTACGTTTAGTTAACATTGTTACTTCACCGTCAACACACCAAAACAATATACAATTAAGAACGGGTAGCATTCGTAGATATGGTATGGTAGGTTGAATCCGCTTAACATTTCAAAATTTGATCATGAGCGTTGCAAAAATTGCAAGCGATATCGTTCCAGATATCGTAAAAGCAAAAACTTTACGTACATACTAAAAGTAATTGAATTGCTTAAAAGACTATTAAATGGTTTACATTTGCTTCCTAGGCTTTTTCCTAGGTGATAAATCGGGATGGTGCCTCGGCGGGTCAGGCTCGTCGTCGGGCGGGAGCGAAGACGCTGCGCTGATCGTTGTGGAGCCCGAACCCGCACCACAATGCCCCGTCGGCACGTCCTCCCAGCCTGTACTCTCGGGTCGGACGTACCCTCCAGTCAATTTGGACGGTGACCTGTGATCATATTCGCATAGTAAAAATACATAAGACTGAAAATAATAATGTTCATTTCAATCCCAGAAATTAACTATAAAGTATTTTAAGTTTTCAGATTAGGAACACAGTTTACAGTGTTCACAGTGGGAGAATAAATTAATATAAAGGAAATACAAACTTAAAAAAATCTTAAAGAATTCTTAGAATAAGAATTTAAAATTGTATGAGTATGTCTGTATGTTGTATGTGCGTGCTGGTACGAGTATGTGTGAGTTTGTTTGTTTGTGTGTGTGTGTGTGTGTATGTAGGAGTGTGTTGTGTGATGTGGGAGTTTATGTGTGCGTGTGTATGTCTAACCTAATATAGTGAGACGTTGTTATGTTTGATCATAGTCGTGTTCCAAGAGCCATTGTGTGACTTTATTTTTACATTCCAACATGGTCATTTTTGTAATTGCGAGTTACTTATTACTTTATAATTAAATTATTAAATAAAATTACTTATAACCAATTCGGTCGGTCGGAACAGTCATTCCCTTCAGTCCCTCTGTTAAGAACCTAGGTCTATTTATCGACAGCGTCAGCCAGAGAGTCACAGGTATGCTACGGGCCTTCTATCGGCTTAAAAATGTCCTTCCTTCCGAGACAAAAGCGATGCTAGTACAGACCCTATCTTGGATTATGGTAATGTATGCTATTATGACCTGAATGCAGATCTCCTCAAAAATATGACCGCCTTCTGAATAACTGCATTCGATTCGTCTTTAACTTTCGCTAATACGACCATGTTTCCTCTCGTCGCGAATTGAAATAGCTCACGATTCGTCAGCGCCGTCAGCTGCACGGCCTCACCACCCTCTATACCATACTCAAGTCACCTATTTCCCTTTCCTACCTTCCTAAATGTGAAGCATGAGATACACTAGCCTTTTTAGGGTTCCGTACCTTAGGTTTCCGTAAAAAAACGACACCCTTATAGGATCACTTTGTTGTCCGTCTGTCTGTCAAGATCCATTTTTAAGTAAAAATTAAGGCCAACTATGATGCAACTAAGCTAATAATTGATTTGATTAATTGTACAGAATCACCCCAAAGGTCGGCGCATAACACTGAGCATTGAACATTTTAACAATATCTCTATCGGTGATACAACTAAATCTAAACTCAGTATTACAAATGTTATTATTCTCTTTCAATAAAGATTCTGCAATAGTGGGGGACGAATTCAATGATTCTTTTATTGATATTGGAATGTCTGTGAAAAAAAATTCAAAAGCTGTGGCAACATCTAAATTGGATTCAATTACTTTATGATCAATTGTAAGGCTATAATTATTAAATTCGTACTTTGCTTTGCCAGTTTTTGTGTTAATTATTTTCCATGTCATTCTAATTTTTTTTGAACTATTACTAATTTTAGATCTTAAGTATTTAACTTTTGCAGAATGACATTTTTTTAATAAATTAAAATATTGTTTTAACATATTCTCGAAATTCCATAGGTACTCGTGTTTATATATACCTATACTAGTGTTTATATATACTTTTATATATACCTACCGTGGCCCATTCACTGAAAGTTGTAGCACCTTTAACTGACTATTTCTTAGGAGTAAAGATCAGATTGGGTTATGCTTTATACGGATGCATTAAAACTTTCTTCAGATGCATTCGTGGGTCCTGCAGTTTGGATTTAAAATTATATTAAGCTATAAATGCTCTTCCTACAACTCTATCTTTTCAGGAGAATCTATTGCCCTATTGTAAATGGTCTTCTATGTGGCTAAGCTTGACAAGTCCCTTATTTTATCAGACTCTTTGACCTGCCTACAAGATGTTTTAAAAAATCCTTTCAAACCTCGCAATAATTTCCCTATAAATTCTTAAAATGAAAGAGGTTCTTCACAGATGCCTATTGTCTGGTATTGAAGTAGTTGTAGCGTGGCGGTCTTCAAACAAAAACATGTTAATAAGTCATCCACCTCTACTATAACTCGTTTACGATGAGGATTTGTCAGTACCTCAGTTTTACTTGGCAAAATTCGAGTTCGTGATCACTCTCTATTTGAGTGTGGTCTCGACGAATGCACTCTGGAACATATTTTCTTCTCTTGTCCTAAATTAGTTGTACCTAGTATGATCTACTCCCTCAACAAAAATCCCGACCCGTTAATTTGGCTTATTTCTTAATTCTAGTACATACCCCATTTGTCAAGATCCTTTTCAATTTTATTCGTATAAATAAGATAAATTTGTAATGTTTCCTGATACTTTTACAACTGTGTTCTTTTACTACAATACTTTTTTTTTCTACTGTCCCACAGAACCACAAACAGAAACTGTTGAAATCACAACAATTCCCTCTTGATATTCCAAATATTTTCAATCTATTAACTAATAAATCTAACTCCCAAAGTGACGTTGGCAGAATCATCGAAATCTGATGGAGCCATTAAATTAAAAGAAGAAGAAGAAGAAGACCATGTTTTGAGTTTGGAAAATATGAAACGTCTATTTCTATGAAATTATTTAATAGAATATCTTTTTAGTATTTTAATTTTATTATTAACGATATAACATTGTTAACCTAGACAGTAAGTAAAGCTGCTAGGTGAACAAGATTTTCATACTCATTATTTTATCAATTTACGAACTGATAACTTTAACTGATAACGAAAAAGTTATCGGAAATGTACAATAAAATTTTGTTTGAGTTGTTTGATATTTCATGCGGAAATAGTTTATTTAGACCAGGGTCGATAATTTTGAAAATGGTAAAAAGTGAAAAAAATAATAGTAGGATGAAACCCGTTAAAAAGGGACGGGTATATAACAAAAATGAAAGGAATAATAATTTACGGGCGATCTGAGGTCGGGAAGTGGAAGGGAGGAAAATAGCAATAAATAGGCATATAGATGCCTATTTATTGCAACAATTTAAAGAATATTCTACAACTTTCTCAAAATATTGTAGATGTCTTATTAAATATTAACTTATTTGGTTGTTAATTATAGTGGTATATTTCGATTTGTATTATTTGTTTATCAATGTAACATAGAATCTTACGTTTTTCAAGTAATTAAAGTGTAAATTTGACTAAATAGCTCAAAATTGTACATAGTGATTAAAAAAAATTCGGATTTTAGTTTTTTTCTTTTTTTTGCATTTTCTGAGAACATTTACCATTGTAATGTATATTTTTTTTTACATCATCAGAAAGAAGAGATTTCGACGAACAAAAAACTTCCCGACTTTTTTTAAAAAGCTGATATTTTGACGCGAGAATTTTCGATTGAAAATTAGGGTGTTTTTTCGATATTAAGTCAAAATAAGATGAAAAAATAAATATTTCAAATCAAAAAAATTACAGTGTCTTTAGGACATAAAAAAGTAAGTATTCACCAAATTTCGTGAAAAAGAAATTGTTTTTGCATTAGTTTATCTAATGCAAAAACAATTTCTTTTTCACGAAAAAACCAAAAACTTGATTATTTGAATTTTTCACAAATTTTGAGGTTGTTTGTTGAAAATTTTTGTTTATTATCCTTTTTTGGAATTCTTAATGCAGTTTTAAATATGAGGGTCATAAATTAATACATTATGCATATTAATAAAACATGGTAATTAGGTTGATGTATCTGCAACGCAATATTTTCTTCTTACTGCTTTTAATAGGTTAATTTAATAAACTTATATGGTATGGCATAGTTACAATTTCAAAAAACTGTAAAAAAAGTCTTAAAAGTTATTATTGAGTTTGGTTTTCTGCCCCAAGGGTCATTGATGCATGACGAATTTTTTTTAATGTGATGAATAGATTTATAATTTAATAAGGCCTATATACTAACCCATCTAGTTCTCGCTTTCTAAGTATGGACGGTCTGGGCAGGACTGGATGAGTAGATATTGATGTGGGTGGGAGACGAGTGTCCCCTGATGCCGAAACCGTGTTCACGATGGTCACTAGAGAAAACAAAAAATCAATTTTGTATTGCTGCTATGATTTATTACTGTGTTTGTACCAGAGTTTTTTATTTGGAGTATGTACTTACATTATCTTCATAATGCATTATGTAACCAATCACAGTAAACCAGTTAAAGTATAATAAATGGCTAACCAGGGCTATAACCCGCTCGGTACGTCAGACAATCTAAGGGTATGTAATACCTACTGTGAAGTATACATATATCTGAACAGAAATCAGAATCTAAACATATATACAACAGAAGTAAGTAAACATAATAATTGTGCAAATAAATGTTTACCTTGTGACTGGCTCGGCTGCGGCTGAGACGGTTGCTGATGTATATAAGGGGCGAGAGTGCGTGGCAACGTCTGGTGCTGCGTTACAGACGAAAGAGGCACGTGTTGCGCTACAGGTGTTACGGGTGTGTGTTGTGGCACATTGACAATCGGTGCGTGCTGTGCTACAGGCGCGTGTTGCGCAACAGGCGCGTGGTGAGGCGGGTGTGCGGGTGGAGGGGTTGAGTGTGCACCCATTGTGCCTCCTCTTGGCACCTCATAGTACAGCTGTGTTGGAGCACTGTTGCCCACTACTCCACGTACGCCAACGCTTGCTACGCCCACTACCTGCTGACAAACCGTATCTTACTATAATCGTTATTAAAAATATTTACGAAGATATACAAATTAATTAAGTAGAATGTACCTTAGCAGGTTGGTAGTTTCTCTGCAGAAGTGGTAGTGGACGTGGTGTGGAACCGGCTGGTGTCGGAGTAGCGGCACGCGGTGGTACATTCCGAGCTGCACCAGATATTACTCCGCTTGCTGCTTAAAAATATAAATACAATGATAAACATTTTTATTTTAAACATATGAGACCAATTCTACCTATAGTAAAACAAATCAGTAAAAGAAAAAAACTTACATGTAAGGACTGAAGTTGAAGGTAACGTGACAATGGAAGAATGGGATGGTTGAGCTGACAGAGTTGATGAAATCGAGGGTGTAGAAGGACGTGCATTTCGTTGTCCATAAACTAATGTACTTCGAGGTCCACGTGTCCCTCCAGACCAAGTGCTCCCTGCAAACAGAATTTTATCACCTCTAAAACAAGCAACAACACTTGAGAAGAAGAATATCTGAGGTAATATTTACTTACAAGAGAATATATTTTTATCAATACAATTATTTATTTACTTGTTTGCTAATTCTTCCATAAACAAAAGTAACCTTAGAAACAAAACCCTTTTATACGATGTCTGGTTATAATTTATTACATATGAATGATTATCATAAAATAACAACTGTGAAATAAAGTCATGCAAATTATGAACTGAAGAAAAGGTTTCTTACCTTGAGAACTGGTTGACTGGGAATTTGCTGCAGGGACCACTGGCCGGACCGCAAGGGAAGCACCGGCTGCTAAACCTCTTGGCACATGACTTGTCACACCTACCCCAACTCCTTTACTCACTAACACCCCACTGGTACTGCTTACATTTACATTTGAGAGTACAGCTGTCAAATATTAAAAATTATTATAGGACAAAACAAATGAATACTGGAAACAAATAATAAGTTTGTAAGATAATTACTGCTTACCTGGTAATTTAGAACCATGGTGAGGTAATGGGGGTAGTACTCTGACTGTTGGTGGAAGTGTGCGTACAGATGAATTCACCAACAGGTTTCCAGTTCCACTTACAAGTTGTCCACCAACATTTAACACTTGAGTGCCACTCACAGAAGAACTCACACTTGACTGGACATTGGATGATCCCGTATTACTAGAATTAGACACTTGCGCAGACAACTGTGTGCCTTGACTTATGATTTGTGTGCCAGGACTAATGATTGGTCCACTTGGAGTAATCAACTGTGACTGCGCCATTATTTGAGTGTTCTGACCAATTATCTGAGAACCTTGGCTAACAATCTGAGCTCCCTGCAAGATTGGTGATCCACTTATTATCATCTGAGGCTGAAAAGTTTTACAAATATGACAAAAACATTTTCTATTGAATTTACACATGTACATTTTGGCTGTACCGAGTAATCTTTCGAAAGCATTAGAAGCTGCGTATTTTCTTATGGCATTCAAGAATACTGTTTAACTTTTTTCAAGGTTAGTTTTTGTTTGTAGATTTGTTTCAAATATATAAAAAAAGAGTGGTGTTACAAAAACACTTACTTGGGAGGCAACATTGGAAGATATGATTTGCGCAAGCCCTGGACGCATCAAGCCTCCTCCGGGACTAGCATGAGCTATTATTTGACTGGGACCGGTAGTTTTAGTCTGGCCTGGCACCAAATGTGTCATTTTCACTTCAGAATTTGTAACGTTTTTAACTATAGTAATCTTTTGTGTTGCTAAATCTATTGGATGCATTTTTCCAGCAACTGATCTATCATGATCCAAATTATTACTCATTGTTGCAATTGAGAATTCCTTAAGAGTTCTTTATATAACAGACGAACAAATTTTACTGATTAGGCTTCAATTAACAGACATTATCTTTTTAAAAATCTGTTTATGCCAAGAATAATATAGCGATATTAAATTGTAAATGACACAAAGTCAAGTCAGTCACAAACAACAGTAGAGAAGTACAGTACAGGTACACAACATTGAAAGTTAGACAGACAGCTTGCCTATAACAAAAAGCAGAGCAGCAACTAGAGTCGCTAAATACTCGCAATGAAACAGCAAGTCTAAAAATATTAATTTTTTGCCGTCACTAGTCGATTTAAATGATTGTGACCAGAGTTGGGCGGATGCTGTAACAAGGAATAGGTAAAAATGAGAAGGAAAGTAGAAATGGGTGAAAAAGCGGTATATTCATTAATATTCTAATTTAATTTGATCAAAGTGAACCTAAGAGGTATAGAAATTAAACTAGAGTCAAATAAATAAAATTAAAACTGTCATGTAAATATTTATATAGGTTCTCTTTTGTTTAAGAAAAATGTACTGTGGCTTTATGAATACAAAAAAATAATCAAAATAAATGTTCGTTCACATTATATTATAAAATAATTTATTTTAAATATCCATTTAAATACCTTTAAATGAAAACTTATGATTGACAAATATTAGGTTTTTCAGTATAGACTGATCCAGATTATGTTAATAAAGTATAAAGGGTTTACAGAAACTATGATTTTACGATAAATATATATGTAAGTACGTTTTTAGTTTTTACTATATTGAACGAAATAAATCTATAAATGTCAGTAAATAATCACGTCATCACATCGTCATGACGTACAACAAGAAATAAATAAATGCAACAATAACCATCTTATTTGCATTATTGAAATCTTCTCTTCTTGGTGAATACGCTTGCCAGAATGGTCGTGGCTGTTTATGGGCGTTACGGTTCCCCGTCATCGCTCACTTTCAAGCCTCCTGCACGTCCTACGATGTCTTCCACATTGCGAGCACATTATGCTGCAAAACTATTACTTCAGAAATTATTTTATTTAAATACCTATTTAGTCTATTTACTTGCAGATGCAAAACTTAACGCCTAGCATTGGGCAACTTTTGCCCAATTTGGGATGACCCAGTGTCGCGACAAGACGTCTGTACATGAGGGTTGCCCGGTCGATGACACTGTACGGTGTACCGGTATATACGGTGGCTCTGACCGCCCAGAACAGGGCGCATCTCTGCCACCCTCAGAGGGTATTCGCAGTTAGAGCCATATGTGGATTGCGTGATAGAAGTGCTCGCCGCAGTATATCGGCGGACTCCTGAGTTCCGGGCGGGTAGAGGCTGTCAGCGTCCGCCCGAAGAGGTACGCGAGCAGTAGCGTGAAGCCGCTCACCGAGCCAAGATGGCTCGTTGATCGTCCCGGCTGGAGGCTCCACATTCTAGCTTTGCCGTCGCAGAGACCCTTCAGCAGGTCATCGTCGAGTGGGCCGGGGGTTCAATATTTTCACACTACGATCGAAATAAGTAGATACTTTTTTACGGTCAGAAAGCGTTGGTGCGCAGAGCCCCTAAATACGCGGAGCCACTGTCGCCGCGTAAATACTTAATTTTTAAAATGCAATTATGTGTTACATAAAACTCATAATAAGTTACATTACCTTTATTTGAAATATGCAAAGTAATTGATTATTAATGGGACTAAGTACTCAAAAGTATTTATTTATTTATTCTTTATTGTACACACTGAACACAGGAAATACACATAAGTAACAAGGAAATGTCATGTACAAAGGCTACAAGGTTTAAAACCACTTCCCCGTGTCTGCAGGATGAACCCTGTTTTGTAGTCCTCACTTCACCTGCTCTTGTTCAATTTTACGTTTTTTTTTTAAATTTTGTATGTTCTCAAAATTTAAATAAAAACATGTTTTTTCCTTTTTTTATCTTATTTTTGATAACGACAACGAACGAAAATTCCTCTAATACCTTATGTTTGAGGAGGTGAGGATTAGAGTAGGGGGAATTGGTGTGAATTTGTGTGGTGTGAGTGTGTCGTGATGTGGTGAGTGATGTGATGTGATGTGGTGTGAATGGTTGGTAAGGTGTTGTGTGTGGTGAGTGGGTGTCTGCGATAGATAAAGTGTACTAAATAATCTAAGAAGGAACAGTAAGTAGTTTTTCAGTTTCCTCAAAACTTAGTTTTTAGTGACAGAGTGATAACCTTACTTGTAAACACAATTAAGTCTTGTGAGTTGATATATCGAAACAAGTTTTTTCAACCTTTTATAGAGATATCCCCCCAGAAAGCCAAAGAATTTACGGGAGAAGACCTTCGATTCTCTAACCTGTAGCAAATATTACGTTTGAGGCGTTTCTCTGTAAGTTTGGGTAAATTTGAGTAGGTAATCTATGTATTTTTTTTAATGAATTGATTTGGCATGGCATCGTTACTTTCTGAAGAAACTGTTAATATTATAATAAATAATTATAAAAATTTTATCAAGATAATCTCATTGGATTTTCGCCACACAAATGTCATTGATTGACCAATGAGAGTTTCAAGAGAGCTAGAGTAGAGGTGCTATGAGACATTTTGACCATTATTTTTATTCTATAAATAAATGAGTTATTTATTATGAACAGGTTTTATGATTTTATCAACTAATGTTTAGTAAATTGTATTCTTGAAAGATACTTATTAGCGTGTGTGTAGGTTTGACACAAGATGATTGTTTTACACTTTTTTTTTTTTTTCCGTGCGGAAATCCCCTCGGATGATTGTTTTACCCTGTGTTGTGCTGACTGTGCCAGCCAATAAATAAACACAGACACAAAAAGGTTTCTACTCTATCTATCTTGTTTATGGTACGCCATGGCGGAGCGAGTTGGTGACGGTGATTTTTCGGAAGAAAATATACAGAAATTTAACAATGAAAGGCGGAGCAGTAAACAGTGGGTTAAGCTTAATGTTGGTGGAACATATTTCCTGACTACGAAAACAACGTTATCTAGGGATCCTAATTCATTTTTGTATCGATTAGTTCAAGAGGACAGCGATTTGATTTCAGATAGGGTTTGTTGAATTTCTTGTCCTTTTGTATGTAAATGAGTTTTATTTTATTTGTTGAACTAAAAGGATACGTTTGTTTTCAGGACGAAACTGGCGCTTATTTAATAGACAGAGATCCGACGTATTTTTCACCGGTCCTAAATTATCTTCGTCACGGTAAACTGGTTATTAACAATGACATCGCTGAAGAAGGCGTATTGGAAGAAGCAGAGTTTTATAATATTACTGAACTTATTAGATTAGTCAAGGAAAGAATATGTTTAAGAGAAAGAAGACCCCTAAAAGATTCCAAAAAACATGTTTACAGAGTGCTACAGTTCCATGAAGAAGAGTTGACACAGATGGTGTCAACAATGTCAGATGGATGGAAGTTCGAACAGTTAATCAACATAGGGTCTCAGTATAACTACGGCAATGACGAACATGCAGAGTTTCTGTGTGTTGTTAGTCGTGAGTGTGGCAGTTCTCTAAACAGTAATGACATAGAACCTACGGACCGTGCCAAGGTGCTTCAACAAAAAGGGTCACGGATGTGAGCTCTAGATCTAATATTTTTGAGACTGTCAACTCTGTGTGGGAAATGTGTAAATATTTTAATGTGCAAACAGTCTACAAATATATAACTTCTTTTTTCTTTATATTTTAATTATGTAGAGTTCTGCAATAACATTTTGTGTTAGTCCCTTGAGTGGTATCTGTTGTATTTTTAGTTTTTTACTTCAGCACATTAATACTAAACAAATACTCAATTATAGTGTGAAGTTTTAATATAATTTCATAAAGTTTTATTGATTAATTTTGTAATGGCTGAAGTAATTTGTTGAACATTGATGCAAATACTATCATCCATCTGGTTGCACCAAAATTAATGTAAATATGTATTACTCATAGACTTTACATCTATTTTGAATAAAATGTTAGATTCTTAGGTCTGTTTGAATTTTGGTGCAGTGCAGTTGGATATCTTGTTTGATACAGATGTTCAAATCAAACCAGTCACTATATACTTTCCTGTGCTAAGCAAGGAACCTGATTAATGATATTGTGAATAGAACAAGTAGTATGAATTTGTGGGTTGTATGATATTCTTATAATTTCATATGGAACAATAAAGATGAATGAAACCATTTTGTAAATATAAAATGTTATTCTTTAGATCCCTTTTTAAATTTCAGGTATGCTCATTTATCAAATGTAAGATTTAGCTGGTTTTTTTAGTATGATTTTGCAAGTTGTATGATATTCTTATAATTTTATATGGAACAATAATAATGAAGAAAACACATCTTCCCCACTGACTAACTAACAGGCCCAACTAGTTATGCGGTCGAGGAATGTCATTCATTTGAACATCCTCCTTTATGGTAAAACCAGTTATTCAGTTTTCTTTAAAAGAAACTTATTTAGTGCCCATAGACACTACATTTTATTGAGTAGGTGATTGGTTGATGAGGACTAAAACAGTTTCTTTATAGGACTTATTTTACAGGTTCTGTTGTGGAAAGGATGTTCGATTGGCATTCCGGTTGTGCATGCTAGTTGGTCAGTTTAATGAAACCATTTTGTAAATATAAAATGTTATTCTTCAAATCCAGTTTTAAATTCCAGGTATTATGCTCATCTACCAAATGTAATATTTAGCTGTTTTATTTTTTTATTAAGTGATAAATATAAATATTAGTTAAAAATAAAAAAGTACCTATATTGGTGATACCTTTATTTTACTGAATACAATTGACTGAAAACGTAATATGATTTTGACACGCCTTCACTTAAGATTATTATTAGTGTCTAAGTTAATTTCATAACTACACAATATATAAATCTATAACACGTTTTTAAAAAAATAAACATTAGCACTATTTGAAAACATTAAATTATTCAGCTTATTTAAAATATTGCATTCAACTGCATTAAATACAAGTTAACAAGAGAATCTACATTAGAAACTCTTTTATATAGTTAACACTTATTATCAAAATACAGAAATCTTCACACGCATAAGGCAATGGGGGCTTGTTTTCTATTTTAATATCATGAAACTACAGCTAATGTTTCCTATTGTTACTTTGACAATGAAACTTAGCACCAATCTGCCATATATGTAAAGTCATGGAACAGTTTATGGTCACCAGCTGATAGGGGGCGGGGTTCTTTAGGCGGTGTAAGAACCGCTGCTTCAGATGTAAATTCACTGTCAAAGTTGCTGACATCTTCTAAATTATTTATAGTTGGCACAAATGGTGGCTTCACTTTACGTAAAAGTAGCTGCTCCCAGTTAACATTACGGAAAAAGGCTTGTTTTTTAACATCCTCTGCATCCCTTTCAGAAGAACCTAATCTTCTTTCAGGATTTTTTCTTAACAAACGGCGCATAAGAGCAATGGCCTCAAGAGACAATGTTCGAGGATAACGAACTTCATCATTTACAATGGAATCAAAAACTTCACCCTCATCTTCCCCAGGAAAAGGTGATTCACCAACTAACATTTCAAATATAAGCACCCCAAGACCCCACCAATCTACAGCCCGAGTATAAGAAGTTTCTGTTAAAACTTCAGGAGCAAGGAATTCAGGCGTGCCACAGAATGTGCCAGTACGGTCTCCCCATCCCATACCTTCTTTACAGAGACCAAAATCAGCTATTTTAACATATCCCTCTGTATCTAAAAGTAAGTTATCTAACTTTAAATCTCTATATATAATGTTATTTTCATGTAAATACTGTAGGCCTAATACTACACAAGCTGCATAAAAAACGGCCCTAGGTTCAGTGAATACATCTGCATGAATATGCATCATAAGGTCACCTCCTGCTGCATACTCCATAACAAAACAAACATGCTGATCAGTCTGGAAGCATGCAAACAAATTTACTAAAAATGGGTGCCTTATGGCATTAGCTACCTCAAAGATTCTCTTCTCAGATAACAGTGAGTCTACTTCATCTCTAGCTATGATATCACCTTTCTTTAAAGCTTTTATTGCAAAATATTCATTTGTAGGTTTATATTGAGCGAGAATAACTTTACCAAAGTGTCCTCTGCCAAGAACACTCAATAATCTAAAACTCTCCATAGACATTTCTCCAGATTGTCTCTTGGGATCCTGGTCTTTGCACAAAGTATCTATTACTGATGATGAGCGTGAAGAAGATATCCTCATATTACTAGTAATCTCAACAATCTGATCCTCATTACTTGGAAAGTCAAGAACCAATTTTGGCGATGGTGAAGGTGGATACTCAACTAAAGGAGTATCACAAGATGGAGTTTGAGGGTCTTTAGCAACATAACTATCCCGTGTATATGAGTCTTCTAAAAATGCAAAGGCTTCTTGCAATTCTTTCTCCATTCTTAAGGTAGAAACATTAGGAGGTGGTTGCATTGGTAAAACTGGTTGTGAAGGAAGTGTAGCTGGTATTTGTGGTGTGATAGGAGTAGATGGTAATCCCAGTGGCCTGACACCAGCCATGCCACCTAAAGTAGCATTTGGATTTTCAATTTCTCTATTATCAATTGAACCAGAGTCAAAACTATGTTGTTGTGTCTGATTAATATGAGCAGTTTGAATGTTTTGAATTGATGGAGAAGAGCGTTTTAGAAGTCTGCCGAGCACAACAGCTGGAATGTGCATATCACCATAAGATGGTCTTGGAATATTTTTTCCTTGCTGTTTGATAATTTTTCTTTGCCTTTGCAGCTTAGGTTTTCTTGATATAATAGGATTCAAAAATTTGATTTCAGCAAACAATAAGCCCTGAGGTTCAAGTTCCAAGGCCATGCCATGCCGTATATCATCAATAAATTCTTCCAATCTTAAAAACTTTACAGCACAAAGCCCACGCCAATCCTTCCAATGGATGCCAATTTCCAGTTCTCTTGACTTATCTAGTTTCATGGTGAATCTGAAAATGAGAACATTTCACAATTACAATAATAACAAACATTTGAGATAAATAAAAGCTATAGCAAGTATGTCTTCATTAAAATAGCTTTTATAATAAGTTTGAGACTACTTCCAAAGAATAATTTCACAAAGTGCATTAGTTTTATGACATAATAATAATCTCATTATATTGCAAATCATGTCATCATATGTTTTATGTTTTATTAAGTCTAGCTTTATTAATATTAAATTAGTATAAAATAAAAAAAATATAATAAGTAAGTATAATAAGTAAGTAAGTAAGTTCATATTAAATAACATAAAACAATTTATGTCACATTGTGTGTTAGATATTGAAGCATGTTAGTGTTTGTTAAGAGGTAAAACTTTTAGTCATATTACAAATATGTACATGGCATTAGGTGTAGAGATAAGATATGAGTAACAGCAATGGAATTATGATTGTAATTCCAGGAAGCTATACTTTAATGATAAATTAACCTATTAATTTGTTACATAATTCTAAAATCAAAAAATTGAACAAGAACCTGCACTTATTGTTTTTTATTATAATTAAATAGGTAAAAGCAAGGACCAAATCATTTATCAACCTACTATAATATAAAATACTGAGATAACTTATTTTACCTTTGATCCCATGCTTGCTGTGAACAAGGTCTCCAACTTGTCTGTGCTACCGTATGATTATCAAGTTTTAGAACTGCCATTATTTCATTACTTGTGTCCTCTTTAATGCTATATGTGTACTTCATTGAATTACGTATTGTAACACCCTTAACAAATGACTTCAAATCTGAGGGGCTCGCCATAGGATCACGTCGGCTTCTACCCGGAACATCTTCTAATAGATCCTGGCAGCCCATTAACCTTACTTCTAGTGTCCCTGTAACTTGTACACAAGGGCTTATTAAGGGTGCTGGAGATAAAAACTGAGCTCTTGACCCGCTGCCCCCAGTAAGGCTTACATAACCAGGGCTAGATACAGTGCTACGCAATTCATGCCCTAATTCAATAAAAGCAGGACTCTCAGAAGGAAGCTCTTGTCTACGCATATCTAGTGATCTCCTCAGTAAATCCAACTTCTGTGTAGATTCTAATAGATTGGTTTGAGCTTCATGTAAAGCTTTCTTGTCTGTTACTTTTTTGTCAGTTTGAAGTAGTCTTATGGCATTTTTAGAGCCTTCAACAACAGCAGCCTCAATTCTCAACCGATTCCTCAATTCTGCAACTCTTTCATCAAGTAATGCAGCTACACCACTATCAGAATTTTTTCCATCACCATTTGCACCTGCACTATCACCCTTTTGTTGTTTTGTTAACTTAGAAATACGTAACTTTAAATATTCAATCTTGTCTTTAGAGTCAACAAGCATCTGATGAGCTTCAGCAAGTAGCTTTTTGTCCCTGGATTGGTTACTGCTGCTGATGCTTTGTATCATGTTCTCTGCACCCTGCTTAACTTTAAGTTCAATATTCAACTGTTTTTCCAGCGACGCCAACTTACGATCTGTTGTAGCTTCTCCTAGCTGCCTTTGCTGCTGAGCTGCTTCAGACGCCAAAATAATTTCTTCATCGTAAGAGAGGTCTTCCGGAGAAGTAGGAGTAGACTGACCACGAGACAGCAGGAGCTGGGACTCCAACTCTTGAAGATCTGATTTAAGTTCGTTCAGTTTTATATTAGCCTTTTTTACAATATTAGCGACATCGGCAAGAGATCTCCTGTCCGTAGCTACCTCACGCAGTTTTTCGGCTCCTTCCTTTATTTTGAGTTCCTTACGTATTTCTCTACGTATGACATCCTTGAGTTCCTCCAACTTAGACGGCAATGCTATTTCTGGAATACACTCCGTTTTAATACCATACTTGACACCGAGCTCATGGAGAACTGGGTGTCGAATATAATCACTGTGGTAATAACCTGGCTCTGCCATAATTGAGGATGCACAGTCTAACGTCAGTTAACCATAATTATGTGGGAAAATAACACTATTTTTGCTAAAAGATCACAAAACGTACATAAACGTAAAACATTTCTTAGTGGGAGCAATGCTCACGAATATACGCAAAATCATGTTAAAATGAATGATTTTATCGTTTTTATTTTAACAAATCACAAAACAAAACAATCTACACAGAACAATCGGTCAACGAAACCAACGAAACGATGAAACCCTACCATTATACCATAGACATAATATACATACATGATTTCATCTGTACTTATGCCACTCCACAACCTACCTTAAAACGTTAATAAAGATAATCAGGGTAACTTTGGATAACCTTGATACGTTTCTATTTAGTATATTTTTTTTTGAAAAGATAAATCTATGTTACACCCTTCAAACTACGGTTAAATCTAAGTAAAGATTCCTCTATAAGTATACTAAATAATTATCCTATATTTCTCTTTGTATGGAGTTTGTCCTATATTTCTATATTTATTCTATATTTCTTCTTAACGACCAAAAGAATGTACCCCATATAAATACCAAAGGAGCATGTGGTATTCCTGAGTCTATCTTCCTCGGTGGAAGTATATTTCTTGCTACATCATGCTAAATATTCGTACTATATGTAAAACAACTAATTAATATGTTCAGTAGAAGAATAAAAATTCTTATCTCTTTTTAAAAAAAAAAAAAAAAATATATTTTATTTGGTCTTTTATGTTTTTAATCACCACATTATATGTGTAGGTTTTTTACGTTGACATTATACATTAAAAATTTGAAATGTGACTGTAAATAGTTTATAAAGAAAAAATAAAATCAATTAATAGCCTGAGAGAAGTACCACGTTTATTGCATTCTCTTGTCATCGTGAGTCCTTTTGAACTATTGATTTATCACATCTTCGACACTCGACAATATACATGAAATATGTAATTTAATTCTTATAATACCTGCATAATATGCTATTTACGCACGTGAATAATCTTATTATAATTATGAAGTAATATTAATATTCACAACTGTAAGGAAGTTAAAAAAACTGACCCATCGCGGAACGCTGTGTAGATGTAAAACATCGACCTTACATCGACCAACCACAAAATGTAGAAATAATGAGTAAAAGTCACGCTAACGTGGCATGGCGATGGTAACGAATACTATTACCACACCCACGTCATCAGCTGGATTAGATGTTGGTTGTGATGTCAGCTGGTTTTAATTACATACCTTTGAAATGCCTCATGTTTCGACCAGGTTTCACTGGTCGTGGTCACTAGCTGACAGACATACATCATCACCATATTCTGAATATAGAGTTTGACTAGCCGTTTGCCTGCCGACAACCCTTCTTAGTAATCAATTTTTTTTCTAACAGGGTAAAGGATGAACTAAAATTTTGAATAAGGAAAACTAATAAGATTTCCTTATCCGAAATTAGATAAGGAAATCTTATTACTGTTCCTAATTCAAAATTTTATGAGGAGCTGGGGCAAGGGATAATGCAAGTCTCGGAGAGTGACACGGAGCTGAAACTAGGGTGGCTTAAAGTGGCTAGTATCACGTAGCCGTATATCTGTCCTGTAATTGGAGAGCCAGGAAACTAGGACAGGAACATTCGCTAACCATCACTGAATAATGAGAATAGTTCAGGTAACTTAGAAGCAAACTTACTTAACTTGTCTATTAAAAAACACTTTTTAAGAGACAAGTTAAGTAAGTTTTGTTTGTTTGTTTTTAAGTTATGTACATTAACCCTACCATATTTAATGCACTATCCATAATAGAAGATCTATCTAGATTAGGATTATATTTTTTCATGAAAAGGGACGGAAGTGTGGATTATGAAGCTGAGAAAGCGCGTCCTATTTGATTTGAACTAGGAGTAGTACTATTAGGCTTCCTCGTCTTTTTGACCAGGTAAAAGACTTCTTTAAGCGCTTTTCCTAGTCCGACCCTTTCCTTGCCTTATACCTATTTTAAGTCTATGGTAAATATCCAAACGACTGAGACATTAATTTAAAAAAATATGATTTGATGTTAGTCTGTCAATGTCACGAGTCACGAATTTCATATTTATATTATTTATTATCTGTATCAAGTGCCGAAAACCTAGTTAGAACTTTCACTTCCTTTTTTATAAAAATTTGCTAGTAAAGGAGAATATTTGATATTCAAAAGTAGTTAAGTGGGTAGTTTTAATAATAAAAGAACACATTACTGAACATTGTCTAAGCTTTATTTTCAAGAATTTGCTGTAATAAGTACAACCTGTCAAAAGGCGGCAGTTACAGACATAAATCATCTGTCATAAGTACTTACGAAAGCTTGGTCATTCGCTTTAATGGAAAAATAATGCCCGTTAAAGTTGATATCACCCCTCCGCCTCCAGCAAATTCAAAACAACCTGGAGTAACTAAGTCATTACTTTATAACGGATCCAAATTCCAAGGACACCAAAAAAGCAAGGGAAATTCATATGAGGTCGAAGTGGTTTTGCAGGTTAGTAAAGAAAACAAAGTACCTACGCAATTTTATTATTTTTAGTCTTATAAGATTTAAAAGTTGTATTTTACTTATTTGCGTAAATAACCTTGTGAAGGAAAATTAATTGAGAAAGTATATTTATGCAAAGTAAACACTGTTCAATGCTTAGTAAATGTTAGTAATATTTATATTAACATCACTTTCTGGATTATTTTACAGCATGTAGACGAAGAGAATTCATATCTTTGTGGCTATTTAAAAATTAAAGGATTAACAGAAGAATTTCCAACACTCACAACATTTTTTGATGGAGAAATCATATCAGCCAAATATCCCTTTCTTACAAGAAAGTGGGATGCTGATGAAGATGTTGATAGGAAACATTGGGTAAGGAGATAATTATGTCTAAAATACTATTTAATTTTGTTATTGGTTAAAGACTTAGATTCATGTTACCTATTTTCAGAGTAAATTTGACTTGTTTGTACCTTATTTGAAAACATTCAATTCAGATTCGTTTGATTATGACTCTCTTGCAAAGGCTGACTATGTTTTTATGAGGTGGAAAGAACATTTTTTAGTACCAGATCATACAATTAAGGATATAAACGGTGCTTCTTTTGCGGGTTTTTACTATATATGCTTTCATAAGTCTGCTGCTACAATAGAAGGATATTATTACCATCGAAGTTCAGAATGGTGAGTGTCTTTAGTTCTTTTTGTATTGGAATTTACTTTTGATTTTCATACCATATTGACAAACATTTATTAAAAAAAACAATTTAGTCTATGATTAGGTATGTATGTGATTAGGACTTTTATTTGACTTGAGTTAAACAGCAGAACTACTTGTTTATAATTATGTTAATGGTTTTATAATTATCAGTAACCTTTTGCTTTGCTGTCTGTTTTCTTTTATATAGAACTTAAGTCTTGTATATTTCAAAGCAAACAAGAAAATGTTGTTCATTGGTATTATTAATTTTAATTGTTTGTGAATATAGATGGCAACTCATAAGCATCTTATCATTTTATAAGTTATCATAATAATATGTATGTTAAAGAAATTCATGCATAATTGTGAACCAAATCTATTTAATCAAATTAAAGTATATAATTGAGCTTGATTGAAAAATACATCATCCTTTCAAACTAAGACTAAATAAAAATATACTGCCAAGTTTGAAGCCTCCAAACTCAATACCTGATAGCTGGATTATTGAAATACACCAAAAATTTAAAATTTAATTTATTCAAGTCTATCAATAAATTATTAAGTTCTTAGAACCTTGTATTGAAGATATTATAGAAATTGATAAATAATGCAATTCTTATGATGTATACAAAAACAGAGCATGGTGCTTGTTTATAAGTTTTTGAAAAAACTGGTCTAAGGAAACCCTAAATAATTAAAAGATACTGGGTCACCACATGAACAAATTGTTAAAAGAGGTTTATTTATTTAAGTATGTGACTGAGATAAGAAGATGAAGGTAGTAGGAAATAAAATTTCTTTAAGTCACGTCTGTTCTTCACTAAGGAATGATATTCTATTCTGATATTTGATTGCAATAAAGAAAGATATATTTTAATCAAATAAAATACAAAAATCTTGAGAATATCACTCCATATTATAAAATAAAGTCCCCTGATTAAAAAACCAAAACATACTGTAATGCCTACTTTAAATTCTACTTATTTTTTTATTATCTATACTTAATACTATTGTATTAAGTATTGATAGTGAAATTTAATTAATTTTTAAAAACCACTAGCTTTCACATTTATAAAAAAGTATGAATAGATGAAGATATCAGGAAAAAACATGAAATAAGAAATAACTGACTAGAGTTTCATATTTCGAAATGATTTCAAGATTGTGTAGGTAACTAATAACTATATTAATACCATCTGCCACATAACGCGTAGAAGAAAGTGAGTGGCTTGGTGAGCCATAGTGAGAATCCTCCAGTATTAAACATGCTAAGTATGGGCAGTTGTATTAACTATTGATATCTGTCTTATACATATACTACCCACATTTTATAAACTTCTATCTGGTCAGTTCCAATTAATAAATTATATACAAAATATATTTTGTTCAAGTTCTTTACAAACTTAATTTTTATTACCTAAATATTGACTGGTGCATTTTGTTGGTTTTCAGGTATCAATCTTTGACTTTAAGTCATGTACCTGAACACAGCATCCAAATTTATGAGTTTAGATGAAATCTCCATGTGAAAACTTTAAAATTTGGATTGGTACCTTTGTGTCCGCTAGTACTTACTTGTTCGTTAAGGTTGTAATTTCAGCCAGTATCCAAACTATGTAAAGATTGCCAATGTTGTGTTTTTTCAGTAATTTAAGATAAAGATGTCAGGGCTAATAATACTGATTCATTCAGAACAAAGTAATTCAAATATAATTTTTTCGTTTGATTCATGAACAACATTGTGTCAAAGACTGTTTTTGCACATACTTCAAAAGTGGCACCTTCAAATAATGTCATGTATAGAATTAAGAAGTATGCTTTTTTATTGGTAAGATAATGAAATGTCTTTTAGACAAAAAAAAATAAGTTGCTGACGTTTTTGTTTGTCATCATGACTATTAGAGCTTCAGAAATTATAATAAAATACTACATATTTAATTATTATTACGTAATTTGTTAAGTTTATTAATAATACTATGTATTATTATTGTGATATTTTGTACAAATAACTTGCAAGTAAGTTGCTTACTATTATTTCATCATAATTTTTGTTATAAATGTTATGTAGGTACAATAGTTAGCTAAAGTTACTTCATATTAATTGAAGTATGTGCAAGTACAGGGAATCTCTTTTTACTGAAAAAGTTAATATGTACCATTCGGCACCTACTAGTAAGATCCTCTATTATCAATGTTATTGATAGAATTGAATATTTTTTTTCAATAAAACATCTTATAGTAAACTTTGAAGTTTTTTTTAATCATCATTTTTCATCTGTACTAAAGCTAAAAAGATTTTTGACCAAACACACTAATCTCTGAAACTATGAGCAATAGGCAATAGGCTATGTAAATTCATGCTACGATTCCGAAGCTGAACAGGAACCATAAATCCAAAGAAACTGCTGGGAATTGCTAGCACAAAATAAAAATGCAATTATCCATTTGATTTGAGTTTTAATATAACACATTTTACTATTTACAATAAAATACAAAAAAAAAATTATAGTTTATATTTCATCTAATTTCTTCCAGTGAATAAGCAATTTTTTAAATATAAGTTTCAAGACATTTTATAATATATTTTCTATTGACTAAATCCTTAAAATATTTGTACAATAGTCCTTTTTATATTTTATAAATAAATATTATAATCTTAGAACAACACACATTATTTTAAGCATTAAATATGCATTTTATTTAGTACAAAAACTGGCTCTAAAATATATTTATTGTTTTTTTCTTCAAACTTTTTCAAAATTTTCATTAAATCCGCCGTTTTTGTACTTTTTATCGTTGATTACATTTTGATGTTATTTATTTCATTTTTTAGTGTAAAATAATTATAAGTAACCTACTAAACTCAAAACACACTGGTGTTTAGTGGGTGTACATTTTAAAATGTAATAAAGTTATAGTTTGTAATTAAAATATTCATTATCTTGTATTCTTTAATTGTTAAACGGAAATCAAGCTCAAAGTGTGGAAATAATTATGATATACAAAAATAATACTGTGAATCCATGCCTTACATGTAATTTAATACACTATTCATTAGGGGATTCAATTTAGCCACATAGAAGGGGTAAAATATTGATTGCATTATGTGATAAAGAAGTTTTCTTGTACAGGACCATTGATACAGTTTATTCTTGGGTGAATTAACAATAAAATTTAGAGCAGTCATCGCGCACTGTGCAGTCGGTACTGCTACTACTCATGCTTTTTTGTATCATCAGTCATCAGTATCTAGTTAGTTTTTACTGTCGTCATATTTCTAAATTTTTATTAAAGATATCCGCTATGTACGTGTGTATTTCTGGGAGCTAGTCTTTGACATGAAGTGTGTCACTCAATGATATTATATACAAACAAGTGGTAGATACGCCACCAACGCACAAAACGCGCTGCGAGCGAACGCACGTACCTACTAATTAATTCAAGAAAATTCAATCATCAAATCAATCATGATCATTCAAAATACCTTCCTGTCTATTCCGTAAGTGCACAAATTATGACAAAAAGGTAAATGACGGAATATCATACCACAGGTAAGTGTATGTTTTGTTCTAAAATGTATTAATAGATGTATGTACGGAACAAATATTTTGTGCGTGCAGTATAAATATAACGTATCTTTCTTAAAATATCATTGGTGTCATCGGTCACCATCGCGACAGAAAGTTTCACTCCTTGAAAAACACCCCGTTCAGGTTTGGAACTTGAAATACACACGTGAATAAAGCCTTACATCTGTAATGTAAATTTTGTCATTAAAAAAATTTACTTCAACAAAAATGTACTAAATCAATGATTTTTATCTGGTGAGTACATGACATAAAACATTCAAATACCACAATGTGCGAGATTCTAGCTCTTATCGCTGTTGTTAGGTACTTTAAGTTTTTGTAAACTATATTATTTATGAATTACCAGATATTATTTGATCGGTAGTTGGCCATTACATGTAGGTATATGTTTTTCCTATATTGGTAAAGGTATCTTGTAGGAACACACCCCATGTTAGCTGAAATGTGAGACGATTGATGGACTTCTAGTCTTTCAGGGGACATTTTATTCTTTATCTCCATATGTAAATAAAACATTTTAAAAGCTTTTAGAAGTTAAAATATAAAATACGTTAAATAGTCAAGTTCTGTGATGGTACTATATGTATGGTAGGTATAGATGTCCACAAAACATGAATTTTAGCTTTAAAATGAATAACGTTTGGGAAGTGATCAGAATACACTCTTGCCATGGCCAAGTAAACTTTTTATTTCTTATTCCAGATGTAAAAGTAAACTTTAAATCTGGAATAATAAATCACTCTTCGCACATGAAGATGTTTAATTAAGAGAGAGGTATTCTGTAATGGAAACATTGACCAAAAAATTTGGTTGAAAAATTGACCAGACTAAAGCCGATTGAAGCGTTTTATTGAATCTGGTATTAAGAATCTTAAACACAGGGATGATTAAGGAAGAGAAAATTCCAGAAATATGGTCATGGTACATTGATCTTAATTAATTATATTTTATTCAAAGTTAAAGAAATAGAACAATATTGAATTAATTAAGTATAAAAATACATTAAACTCGTCTACTTTCTATATAAGTAATTTCAAATAGTAAGTTATTATGGGGCAAAAAACTAAATACTTAATCTAAGCTTTGGTGGGATCATTTACGTGTAATGTATAGTTCGTTTATCTAGATATTCAATTCTTACGAATGCATTTAAATACAAATATATTTCAAAATGCTATTTTCTCGTTTCTCGATATCTTGGTTTGGGTTACCTTTTGAAAAGACGCACCTCTGAGATTTGAGACGAGGTAAACTTACATTCATTATCTTCCTAAGTGGCAAGTACAGTCATGGCCATTTTTTAAATAATATACATCATTAAATACGAAACATTGCGATAAAAATGGAAATACAAGTTTTGGTGGGTTTTAAGTGTCCGATTTTGCATTTATATTGCTTAGATCTAATAATACGAACAAATACAGTAGATTATAGCTACATACACATATCGTTTTTTTTGCGATTATACTCGATTGCAAGAATATATTTTTATAGAGTGGCAAGCCTGTGCCAATTTTTATTACTTATAATAACAATATAGCAAACACATTTTGCGATTATATAATACAAAACACCAAACATATAGAGACACAATACATTCACAACGAAAAAATTATATAAAATATAATTAAATAAATATAAACCAAAAATTATTATAAGTAGAACAATTTACATTAACATAATATAAAACAATAATAATACTATGTGAACAATTATCAGTTGCAACGTAAAACACTTAGATTAAAAAATATTTACAAAACTTAAAACTTCTAACAAAAAATAACTTAATTATGACTGTAATATTTGGCTTTGAAATAAATAGGCTAATATATTGAAAGCTATGGAAATAAATCATTTTAAGCATAAATTCATAATTAAAAATAGAACAACCACAAGTACCTAGAGTATTATAGGATCATTGCCATAGGTACCCATCGATTTTAATCATTGCTGAAAAGTAGGCATTTAATATTTTTTTATTAAATTTTCAGATACTAAATATGTGATTTGTTCATTTTCCCATAGCTTCCATTATACGTCGTCGGGTAACATCGAATTATCTAACATATACAGAGAAGCTCTCTATCTTTTTGAAATCCCTTCACTGCTGAACCAATGTCTGAGGCCGAGCAGACTGTAAAGATCTCTATTATCAGTGTTGCGAGATCGTATTGGGTTGCCATGATGTTGAACCACTCGGCGAATATATCCTTTCAATTGTTCGGGGTAAGCCGGGGGTACGCCAAAGCCTGTATGAGGATAGTCGTGTAGCCGAAAGTTGTGAGGGTACGAATGGTGATGCCTTCTAGGGTTTTCATGTGTATTGTACACACCTCCTACTTGATTACGACCTGGCCAGTAATCTTGCAAGTGCCGAAATGGATAACCTGGTGGTGGCGTTGGAGAATTCTGAGCCGACCACGGGTATCTGTAGTAGATACCTGTTTGATAAACATGCTGTGAAGGTATTTTATCATTGTTAACTGCAGGAACGTGAAGTGGTGCCAAATTTATATGTTGTTCTTTTGGTTTGTTGCGTCGATATTGCGCTTTGGTTCGAGTGCCTAGAATGCTGTCTTCTTTTACTTCATATTTATTGGGTTCTTTGGCAAAATTATCATCAGTTGTTACGTCAGCATATCTACTTATTAATTTAATAGCTTCTCCAATATCGCTGTAGTCATTTTCTGGGTTTAATTTACTCTTTTCGCTATCTTTCTTCAATATTTGCGAAGATGAAGCTTGTTTAGTTTTGCTGTCACTTATATTAGTGGTGGACATAGTAGATGAATTTTTATTATGCTTATCATTTTTATTTAGTGGTGTTGCACTGCTGTGTATGTCTGTTGATTTACTAGATGTCTCGATATCTTCTATAGTTTCATGATTTTCCGTATTGTATAAAACAGGGTCAACATTTATGTGTCCATAAACTAATTCTTTTTGTCCCACATCATCGGTGGTGTTATTTAATGATTCTATTTCAGTTACGTTCAATATTGGGCTATCGCGTTTAGGCTTTTCTGGATAGTTGTGTATATTTGTCAGTACATTTTGGCTCAAAGCATCTGAGCCTACACCTGTAGCTGTACCATTTTGGTTAAGTGTGTTCGAAAGACTTAGTAATTCTAATTCAGCTTTGATAGCATCACCATCAGGATTGTTACTATCCTTCTTGTCAATGTTGACGTAATTCGGTTGCATACCTTGAGCCTGAAATTTATAAAAAAGTTTTTATTAATGATGTTGCTTTTTGTTATCCCAAGACTTCTTAGATAAATAAGGACTATGTAAGATATTATTTAATAAGGAGCGAATTTCTAAGGTAACTGGAGAGGTTTTCATAAAATTTTGATTTTTGTTACTGTGAATTACCTGTGCGTAGGGCTCCTGTCCTTGGAGCGGCGCTGCCTGTGGATCTAAGGCGATAGGTATGGAAAGCTGTAACGGTCCTGGCTCGTCCTCACCATAATCGTATAATACATCTGTGTTGACGTGGCCGTCATTCGGTGGGGTAGTGAACAGAGCATTTAATGTTTCCAGCAATATACGTTCATGTTCGTCTTTGTTTACAGTAACCACCTGTAAATAAATAATTGTTTGATCAAATATCTACCAAATATCATTACTTAGAGTTACTATTAGTTTTTGTAGTGGTTGGATTATGTGTTTTTTTAAATAATCTAAAATAAGAAACGTAAAAGTTATCTTCTGTAAGGGTAGACTGGTATTAACATTTAAGAATTTCTCAACACAATTATATTACCCTTGTTAAAGATACAACATACTTCATAATAATAAGTCTCTATTAGATTATGTACCTGAATGCAAGCATTCCGATCTAGTCTTTGGCCTTTAGGACAAACTAAGGGTGTTATAAACAAAGACTTTGTCGTAATTCTTCTTGGTGGAGCATTTTGATTGTTGCTGTCGGAGCTCTCAAGCCAGGATTTCCAGACAAGCTCAGCGGCTTTGCGATCGAGGGTACGAGGAGGCGCGCGAGTAGTTGCGACCGGCACTGGCGCCTCGGTCTCTGCTTCCCCATCTGCCTTCACTAGTGCACACGACACCAGCAGTAACGTTGTCCACGTGTACCACATCGCAAACAACTGTAAACAATGAAATTTTCATTTTTAAAACAAATCTCGTATTAGAAAGTTATCTTGCTAAGTGGATTTAACCATCATATTTATAACCGTCATAAATAAGTAGGCTTCTAAACAAGGCAACAAAATTGACGGAAAGTATACCCTAAAGTCCGAATACCGCGATATTTTCCACTATCAAGACGATGAACAAACTCGGTACGTCCAAGCTAGGTAAGTTTGAACTAGGAAATTGTACAACGCTCATTATTCAATGCAAGCAGATTAATTACAATATCTTTAAATGAAATCATGCGTTACAACGTAATGTTAAGTTGGATTAAGGCCAACAGTAGTTGATACATTATTTATTATTACTGTTTGTGTGTTTGTTATTTTAAATAAAATAAACGTCTTATTGAGCGGCTCATGGACCGAAGTAGTACTTCCAAAGCTCTTTGTCCAAGAAATTGCTCATGGACTCGTACTTGATGTGATGTCAATTAGATCGAGGTACGACCTCATCTATTAGTTCAATAGCTTGAACGCACACAAACTGTATTCATTGAGTATGTCCTTATTGTACCTACATCGACCTACATTTCGATCGTTTTCTAGCAAAGGTCCAATTTATTGATTTCGTTAATTTGTCTACATTAAGTATTTTATAAATTACAACCAGGTATTACAAACAAGAGTTAAATATTCGCCACTTCACAATCAAAGTTGCCATTACCATAATTAGACGATTTTAAAAAGGAGGGACTTCTTTTGGATATTTAACACAAGCGCATGGTTTTTTAAATATTTGACATCGCGAGCGAGTATGCTAGCATTAGGTTCTATGCTGCAATGTAAATAAAACAAAAAATAGGTAAGTATGTTGTTAATGTCTGTAATTAATTATAAGTTTGTGAATGTGGTCAAAATAATTATTACCTACCTGCTTACGACCTTGGAAGCCCTTTATCATTGAATGAGTGAAAGTGTGTTAATCATAGACTATAAGAATGTGGCACTTATGCGATGCGTTCACTTTTTACCCGTTTTAAATTATGCCTACGCTTAAGTTTAGATAAAAAGCTTCATATCAAAAAAATAGTGAGCACTAAAATTTGTAGGCGTGCTGCTAATATTATAAAGTACCTAGTTGTGTACTAGTATGACATTTTCTGTCTCATGATTAGATGAACCTAATGAGATGCAAACCTAAAACAGAAGATTAAAAAAGTATTTTACAACTAGTCACTCAGGTCTTAATACACGAATTACCTTGAGGAACATAATATCTGATCTGGAGTGTTTTCAAGAAATTATATAAAATAAAGAGATTAAAATACCGAACTCTTTTGTGCAACGTTGGGTGCTTAAGATGGTTTAAGGTTTAGGTAAACTAAAGCAAAAACTGCACAGGCTATTGCCATACACCATGCTTCGGTCTACAAACGCAGGCACACCTGACGCACAATTGCGAGTTTATTTCGCATCAACTCGCTCTCGACAGCGAGCGCGTTTGGCGTTGTGATTGGTGCAGATTTCAGTGCGGGCCAATCACAGCGCCGAACGCGGTCACCGTGACGATCGAGTAGAAGTGAATTTAACTCGTACTTAGCCCTTAGCACACTTAGACCTGTCCGGTAAACCGTAGTGTGTGGCCACCTTAAAACACTTCAGAGATTCCTCAACAAGAGGGAATGTCTATCATAAATTCATAACATACACGATGGACCGAAATCGATATGCCGATAAAAACGTGCTATTTTGTATAGCACGTTCATAAGGCAACAGTTACGGCAAATAAAGCTAAGTTTATGAAATATGATTATAAAATGAGTCTGACGACAATATTAACACACATAATTCGTAATTGTTTTCAAACCCAACGAGGTACTGATAAATATTTTAATATTAAAACAATTATTACTTTAACTCATCCTTTAACTTCATTTCTGTGCAAAGTATAGTATGAGACTCCAAGGCTTTAAAACTCCTTTCACAAAAGTACCAGATCCTTTTGCTAGTATTTAAACTTAGTTGTTAATATTGGTATTTCGTAAACCGACCATATGAATATTTTTATTAAAATATCTTTTATTTTATATTTAGTAAGTTTTCATGTAGGTACAATTTTAAGAATGCTTGATTCTTTGATGTTATTTTAAGTGGTTCTGAATTTACATCAGTTTAATAAGTTATGAAAATCGTAAGAACCACATGTATGGGGAAAGAAGTCATCTTTGTAGGCAACTAACTTTAAAGCGTAGCAGCTGTGCAACATGACAATAGCAATGATGCATAAAAAAATTACCGTAACCACAGTGTGTGGAGTGCAGAAGTGGGTAATTGTAAAAATCTTTCAAGAAGCTGTAAATGACATATGACTAACATTAATACATAACAGTTACGTGTAAGTAACACGTTTTGTGTACATCGCGCGACAGTGAGATGTCTAAACATGTTAGTTCCCTTGACCCCAGTCGAGTGTAACAGCTTATGGTGAATCTGCGGTACACTTGAGTTAATAATTTAGTGCGCAAAACAAGGGCAATGGCTGTTGACCCCGTCGCGATCTATCGGCGGCATCTGGCAATGATCTCGCATCAGGCGCCGCACGCGCACGCGGAAGCTTCTCGTGGGAATTAACCGTGTTTCAATGGGTGCTTGATTGAAGCATACTTTATACTGCATTCTCTGCTGTGAAAAGGATTAGAAAGTGGGATTAAGTTCGTCAAAAGCTACTATGGAATTTCTTACATCAAATGTTTTCGTTAGAGGAATTTTATCACTGCCCTCTGATTATGATGCTTCATATGAGTCTGACCTAATGAGATCATTCTGTTTACATAAACCAGATACATGTCGGGTAATCCGTTTAAATGTATTATTATCTTCGCGCACCAAATCCTCGAATATTGAACCCCACCTTGACATGTATGCGAGAGCGAGACAAGACAGTCGCGGAACAGAGGTGCGCCGACGCAGGGTTGCACACAAATAGCTTTTCAGTACAGAACTTGAGTTAAGTGATTCTGAGAATGATTTGTGTGTGTGTGTATGAATGGTTTAATTTTATTATTATATAAAAAAATAGGAAAGTAGTATGAAAATGAGTCAAATATTTGAATAGACTAACATGTCGAATGAAGAGTTCATCTTCCGTTCGATGCACGACCGACGACGACATGCGACACGATGTTATTTTATTTATTTCTTATTATCCTCCGTTCAACCTTAGAACTAATATGATTTGAATACCAGCGCTTTATTGTTAGCCACTTTACAGGTAAACAGTAACCGGCAAGACTGTAGTTTATTATTTATAAGCGCAACATCGGTATTTTACCTATATTATTGTTTGGAGATCAATATGAAGACTGATTGTTTTAATAATTCCAATAAATACGTCTTATTGAATACAACTCAATTTTTATTGCGTCATCGTGATGTGGAGTGCTAATTCAAGGTTGCAATATTTACAAACATTCAGTATGATGTATTCTAGCGATACACTACGATTTATAAAATGGTGATAATCGTGACTTTGAACACACCGTGTCTAGATATTCATGTCTCTTAATGTATTGTTTGGTAAATCGTGGACGAGTCGACGTGAAAGTACGGGTCGCTAACTAATCAGACACGATGTCAAACTTATTTGCATATTAGGTAACATTGAAACCCGTTTATTGAACAGGATACAGGAGTTATTAAAACGTAAATGACTAACTACTGGAAGTTTTTTTATTACCGATCTCTGTAGGTGATCAGTGATCAGGAATAAAAATATTATTTTAATTATCATTGGTGCAATCAATGTTCCTAGAAGTTCTTTATTACTTTGTACCTTCGTATAAATTATTACGACTTTGTACACGCGTCAAAATATAACCGTGGGAGAGCCATACTTTGGTTCAAAAAGGGCCAGCTCGACCGGAGTGATTCCACTGCCTCACCGAAAACCACCGTTTAGCAATTCTTTTGTCTTTTCTCACCGAGTCAGTGACATTACATTAACTGCCTCGGTGGTGCAGTGGTAGTATATGCGATTACTGTTCTAAGGTCTGATCTGAAGGCCATTCTCGTAATGAAACTTCGGTCACAATTCAGTTCGGATCAACCCTCGATCTCACAACTGTCATAAAAGGTATTTTCGTAGTAAAGTATTAAACATCCAACGTTGATTGTCATGTGATTGCATCATATTGCAACCGAAAATTGCATCGGTAATCTGCTAGTCTTAGTAAAACTACTATTTTACTACGAAAATTCCTTTCATGACAGTTACGAGATCGAGAGTTGATCGGAACGAAGTTGTGACCGAACTTTTAATATGACTCGGGGTTTGGGTATATTCTATGTATAATATGTAGCTTTCATAGCATATGTAAATCTAGCTTTCATAGTAAAAGCTCTGCTTAGTTTGAAACTAGACGGTGCTGTGTGACCGATGTCCAAAAATATTATTATTACCAGAGTTCAAGCTTTCCCTCCCCCTAGAGTGTTAGAAATGCAATATACTATTGCGCCTTATCCGCAAATGTTCTCTTCGTCTGGGCAACATAGACTGCTTACTGCAACTGAATACACAAAATAATCATGAAGATCTAGTCCACAGTCTTATGAGACTCTTAAAACCTACTTAAATGAAATTAACGCAAGAAAAGCCTTCTTTAACCGACTTCAAACAATACTAACAAAGAGCACTAGAAACCTAGCAGCAGTCGCGGTTGATTTGCTGTCATTTCGAATTTGATTATTTGATATTAACCCCCCTTTAAACCCCTTTTGAACAAAAAAAATAATTTTGAAAATCCGTCTGTATATGACAGAAAAAAGAAACATCCGAAGTGATAACCTCCTTCTTTTTGAAGTCGGTTAAAAATATTGAGTATATTTATCGAAAACAAAACAAAAAGCGATAAGAAAAAATATGGTTATTAAGCAGTGACATGGGCCTTTGATCAAGATTGAGCGAAATTCTTTCATATACCTTTAGTCAACACTTTCACTTAACGTAAATTGTA